TCTCATATGTCCTGAGTCCTAATTGACCTTGGAAGGCTAGGGCCAAAATGTTGGCTTTCCTTGCAGCCCTCCTTTTTCTCTAATTTTGGTCTGCAATGCTTGTTATTTAATTAGCTTTATTACCAAACTTTGGGGAAACAACTTTTGAGCAAAAGGCACCTTTTCCACTTAGTATTTTGATATAACCCTGAATATGAAGTTGTTTTGGAGTAAAAATTATTAGAAACTTTAAAAAGTACTGAGTATGATTTGAAAACATTTAATTTAGAAATAAAGAAAAGTTTAAACCATATGCTTTTACATATTCATTTTAAGCCTAATTTTGTTATGTCCTATTACATTTAAGAATATAAACCAGGTATGGTGGCACATACCTATAATCAGAGCACTCAGGCAGGTCAGACAAAAGGATCACTGAGCTTAAGGCCAGTGTACACTACAAAGTCAGTTCAAGGCCAGCCAGAACTACATAGTGAAACCCTCAGAAAGACCCCCGCCAAACAAAAAAAAAAAAAAAAAAAAATATATATATATATATATATATATATATATATATATGTCTTCATAGTCATTATTCTTTCATTGGGAATGCCAGTCTTTACTTTGCTGTCTTTACTTTGATTATATTGTCTTTTACATTTTTTTTTTTTCTTAGACACAATCTAATCCTGTAAGCTGACCTTTCACTGTGTAGGTTAGGCTGACCTGGAACTCATGGTGATCCTCCTGCCTCAGCTTCCAGAATTCTGGCATTATGGGCATGCACCACCACACCCAACTATCTTTTACATTCTTTAAAGAAAACATTAGACCTACATATAGGATTCTAATGATTGTAAGAAAAGATCAAAATGACTCTGACAGGGAGAGCCATAGAAAGCAAACTGGCCAGGACCAAAGAAAAAAAGGGGGTTGAGTTCTCTGGGCTTTCCTTTTCCCATATATCTAAACTGGGCACTGGAGAATATCCATAGATATTCAGAGGCCCAGAAAGGTGCAGCCTTGAAAGACAGAAAGCTTGTAGACAACTGCTGTATGCTAACCACATAGCGAAACTGCTTCCTGCCCTTGCCCTACCCATAGGCTGAGTGAAGAAATTGAGGGAGATACGCCTTCCCTCACTCTCCTCAGAGTGATCCCGAAGGAGACAGAAGTAAGCCTGGCAGTCTACCCACCCACGTGATAAGGGGCCTCTCCCTGGGAGCAGCCTCAGAGGCTCATACCATTAATGAGCACACCTCCAACTTAGCAAGCCCTGTCTCAAAATAGAAAGACCTTGGGATTTAGCCCAGTGTAAAAGTCCTGTTTTCAGTTCTAAGGACTGCAAAAACTGAAAATTAAGCAAGACCCCCTCCTTACTCTTAACTATTATCTCTCTCCTGAGCCCAGTAGGGAATCAGGTAAGGTATGCTGGGGAACCTGAAACACCCTCCCCCCCATACACACATTAGCAACTCGGTGAGAACCTTCACTCCTGCCTGGAAGTGATGAAGTGGCAGGTCCTCCAGCTCACCCACTGAAGCAGTGTCAGAGGAAGCCTTCATAGGAGACTTCATCTCAGTTCTAACATAGAAAGGGCTTGGAAATAGTCCCTATACTTAAAAGAAAAAAGAGTGAACAAACTGAAAATCTGTGCTCTTTCTTGGACCATCAGAAATTGAGGGGTCTCAAGGCCAAGTGCCATCCTGGAGTGTGTAAATTCCAATAGTCCCAGACAGTAACAGCTTGCAGAAGCAGAAGCCACTGCAGCTGACACTCCTGGGAATATTTAAATATCAACTGTGATGAAAGCCTAGTAGCTGAGCGTGGACTCCTGCAGCACACAGGAGAATTTCCATGCATGGGTTTTAGTTCCATGATTTTGGCAGGAAAAGAATACACATTTTGAAATAGGTCAAAAGCTTCACTAGTGTAGACCTTCTATCTAGGACAGGTTTAAAGCTATATTCAGTTTGGGAGAAGGGCATTGCCTGGAATCTGTTACACTCTAGCCTTCCTTTCTCAGCTAGGAGAGGACAAAGAAAGCTAAGGAACACTTGGGAAGGTCACAGCTGAGAAACACAGGTCCACTAGGAGACTAACATTAAGCATAAGATTATAGAGCCCTTCTCCCTGCTCAGCTGAGCACCACCCCAGCAGGTGTGCTGCAGTATAATGGCAGGAATTACTCCTGATAGGCGTGCTTTATATAAGGAGAAATGGGGGTGGGAAACTAGTACTGCGTAAGAACCATACTGGAAGCCAGGCCTGTAACCCCAGCATTGAGGAGGCTGAGGCCGGAGGATTGTAACTTGAGGGCCAGTGTAGGCTACTAGCAAGTTCAAAGCCAATTCAAGGATCCTGAGAAAACAAACACTAGTACTACAGAAGTGTAAAGTCACTGGCACATATAGCTGTAGATACAGAGAATGTTAAACAGAACCCAATTCCTCTCCAGATTAACATCTAATCTCACATTAAAAGACCTATGTACTTCAGTCTGTATTTCCTGATACATGGTATCTGGTTTTCAGCCAAAAATTCGGAGGCATGCTAAAAGGCAAAAAAAGTATTGTGTGGCAAGAGAACACAGCAGGGTATGGTGATACACACCTGTGATCCCAACACTTGGGAGGCTGAGGCAGGAGGATTGCCATTAGTTCAAGGCCAGCCTAAACTAAAAAAAAAAAAACACGAAAAAATAAAAAACTAATAAGTAAATAGATAAAATAACTGTTGCATCTGATGATGATGGGGGTGGGGGCGGTCTCTGAATAAGGAGCAAGGAGTCCCCCATAGTGACCCTCTGCCTTTCTTCAAGTCGTTGCCCTAACTCCAGTAAAAAATAAAGTGAGGCTCTTAGCAGAAAGTGGGAGAATCAGAACTGATGGAGTGCAAAGCAAGAGTTTATTTGAAGCGTGGCAAATGCAGAAAAGACAGAAGAGCCACCTTAGCAAGAGTGGTGCTGCACAGTGGGGGGGGGGGGGTCCCTGCTTGGGATGCCAGGTGATATGAGGAATGTCCAGACTTAGAGGAGCAAACTATTTCATGGCTTGGGATGGGCAAGGCTTTGTTTCTGGGATGGGGACGATGTTAGTTGGAGGGTTTTTTTCTTCTTTTAGTTGGAGGTTTCTTAAGCACAAGTATATTTTTATAAGGATACAGCAGGGTGCCTTCTTTTTCAGTTCCATGATACATAATCAGCATGTTATGGTGTTGTAGTCATCAGCCACACTTAAGCATTTGCTCTGGGTTTTTATGTCCCTCTAATCTGCCTCTGTATAACTATGTTTAATATGTTAAGGAATCTATTTTTTTAAAAAAAGGCCAGAGCACAGCAGCCAGGGTTTGATCCCTAGTGTGCCATGCCAGCCCCACCCCTAGATGCACTGAGACATGGATTGAGACTGGGCATGGTGGCGCACCTATACTCTCAGCACTTAGGAGGCTGAAAACAGGAGAATTACTATGAGTCTGATCTATGTAGTGAGACCCTGTAGACCCTGTAGACCCTGTACCAAGTACATTAAAAAAAAAAAAGGCAACATGTAAAAGTAGGTGAATAATATAAAGAGCCTTTAACCCCCCTTTTTGTTTGTTCTTTTTGTTTGTTTGTTTGTCTTTGTATTTTTACAACAGGGTCTACAGGGTCTCACTGTGTAGATCGGACTCGTAGTGATCCTCCTGTTTACAGCTTCCCAAGTGCTGGGATTATAGTTGTGTGCCACCATGCTCAGTCTCGTTCGCCGTCTCAGCACGCCCTGGGGGCAGGACCAGCACGCTTTTTGGTTTTTGAGACAGGGTCTTATTACATCATTCATGCTGGCCCTGTACTCACTGTGTAGCCCAGACTGGCCTTAAGCTAGTAGCAATCCTCCTGCCTCAGCCTCCAGAGTACTGGGATTACAGTCATGCACTACCATGTCTGGGTGTAAAAAAAAAAAAGCAGTAAGGGAAAATTTGGAATTTCAAGGAACATGTTGGTTTTTTTTTTGGTGGAACTGGGGATTGAACTCAGGCCCTTGTGCTTGCCAGGGAAGCGCTTATTCCACTGAGCCATCTCCCCTGCCCCAAGGAACATGTTTTAATTGAGGAAAAATCCCAAAATAATAAAATGTATTAACCAGTATTTAGGAATACAGCTGGACAAGGGGAAGCATACCTGTAATCCCAGCACTCCGAAGGCTGAGGCAGGGAGATTGCCTTGAGTTCGAGGCCAGCCTGGGCTACATGATCATTTCAGGACCAGCCTGAACTACATAGTGAGTCCTTGTCTCAAAAAAACAAAACAAATTAGGAACATGTACCTGCATTTTCATTCAGTATTATGGCAATATTGATTATTTTTACTATAGTGAATTGTAGTTAGAATAAGTCCTTATTTCATGTCTGTAACATGGATTCACAGTATTGCAGAAAATGCACCCTACTGGTGTGGTTTCCTTAAATTGAGTAAAATAGAAGGAATTAATATTTGTGAAAATTGGGGTTGGGGAGATAGCTCAGTAGAATAAGTGCTTGCCTGGCAAGCACAAAGGCCTGAGTTCAATCCCAGGTTCTGAAAAAAAAAAAAAAAAATTGTGAAAATTTAGCTATTTTTATATACTATACTAATTTTCATCCCTGCAGTTCACACATTAGCATTTTTGCATTTTGTAACTAGAGTATTAGGAGCCCTTATAAGACAAGATACATCTGTTTTCATCTCTGTATAAATGAATAACTTAACAAAGAAGATGAATGAAAATTATAAAACCTAGCAGAACTTAGTTTCTCTTTTCAAAGGGTATGTACTGCTCCATGTAGTGGTACATGCCTGTAATCCCAGCACTTGGGATGCTGAGACAGGAGGATTACTGTGAGTTTGAGGCCAGCTGAGTTACATAATGAGTTCAAGGTTAGCCAAAATTACAAAGCAAAACCCTGTGTTTAAAAGAACATCTAAAAAAAAAAGAGCATCTACAGTGATAAAATCCAAATGAAATATGGAGACCCAGGTTTCCTGAATTTGATGCTGCCCTATAATTCTGTTCATCATAATGGCCAAGGTCTTTCCTATGAAATCTTTCAAGGCTGAATATTAATGTGGGTCAAAACTCAAAACACATTGTCTCTTTTTTTTTTCTGAGTTGTGAATTCATTGGCATCCTGGACTGAGTACCCACAGCAACCTTATAGCCAGTGTATACAAACAAAGCTAAATATACATACAAAAGATACCTTTGGAAATATGTACATTTAGAAAAAAAAAAATAGATGAATGTGGAGTGTATATGTGTAATCCCAGCATTTGGGAAGCTGATACAGGAGGGTTGCCATGAGTTTGAGGCCAACCTGGGCTACACAAGTGTTCAAGGCAGTCTGCACTACATAGTGAAACTGCCTCAAAAAAAAGAAAACAAATTTGAAGGTGATCTTTTATATCTTTACAAAATAAAATAACAGATCAGTTTTGGTAGCATAAAATTTATTTCCCTTAACTGTGCTTTCTGTTACTCTAGCATTATGCCCTATGTCTAGGTCCCTGACTTTTTTTCTTTTTTTATTTTTTTCTGTCATCCAGGTAGCACAGTGTATCTCACCAAAGGGGCCTCTTGCATGTTCAAGAACATACTTTTTTGGAGCTACTCATGTTCCTTACTTAGGTAAGTCCCTAGAAATTGTCATTTTATTAATTGTCATGTCATCTTAATGCATGACTTCTCCCATGTAATTAACATAAAATTTACTACTTTGCTCAGAAGCTTATGATAATAATTTGCAGCAAGAGTTGATGTGTCTTAACACATTATTCACAAAGGTATTTTTGGAGAAAACCTAGTTCTGTCTCGTTTAGAGATCTGTACAAGTGTAAGGTCCTGTGCTCCTTGTCACAGGAAAGGGTAAAATAAAAAGGCTTCATTGGGTACAACAGAACAAGTCTATTTTCTTGTGAAGAAAGTGAGAAAAGCCATGACAAGATTCCTTTTGAGAACTTGCTGTAGCACCACCCAGGAAGGACAAACGGTGCTTCCCTGCTTACAGGTGTACAGCTGCAGGCATCCAAAGAGACATGGGAGACCCTTCTAGAATACATGTGGATCTCAGCATGGCCAGAATGGGTTATATCAGAGCATTTCTAGCTTATTTGATATTAAATAAGCTAGAAAACTCAGGAAAGAGCATGACTTGAATCAGATAATTAAAGAAATAAGCAGAACTCAAAGTTTAGAAAATTAAAAATAAAAGGAACAAATACTCCAGCACCTGATTCTGCACATCTTCTTTGTTGCTTAGTGGTGCTAGTGAGTGGCAAATGTCAGAGGTGAAAGTCCAGAGGAACTGACAGGAGTCAGTTTCCTTGTGTTTGTACTATATTTAACTTTTTTAAAATGGTGATTTTGACAGTGTCTTTGAATTTAATTGCCCTTCTAGCTGCTTGATGAAGTATTTACATATCCTATACTCTAATTGCATTTTTTTTTAAGAGAGGGTCTCACTGTGTAGTGCAGGCTAGCCTTGAACTTGTGATCCTCCTGCCTCAGCCTCCCAATTGGTGGGATAACAGCCATACACCATCACACATGGCAGGACTCTTTGTCATGTTCTTAATAAATGTACTCTTTCATAGGTGGTGATGACAAGCTATCTAAGAATGATAAGGTGTCCAAGAAAACTGAACAAATGTAAGTCTTTGCTTTTAATTTTTCTGGCTCTAAGTTGAGCTCATTGTATCTGCCCTGTTTCTTGTTGCAGTCAGCAGGCATTAGACTTCTGGGTGTGAGGTAAACCACGCTGTAGTGTCCCAGGAGGTCCTCACCACCTGATTCTCAGCTTCCAATCGCAGCTGGGGGACCCTGCCAGCTTGCTGTCTTCGTCTCTTTCTGGAACTCGACACATTTCCTGTCTGCACACTCCAGTATTTATATGATAAAGCTCCCCTTCATATGTTTTTTACATAGTACATTGTTTTTATTAAGGGCTTTTCTTAACATAAAACATTCAGAAATCTGCTATAAATATTTTAAAACCCTGTATGATCTGAGGAGTGTTTTCTCTGGACTTGATACTCAAGCTTGTATAACAGAGCTGTGATATGTGCAGCCTTAAAAGGTCCTCTCCTAAGGGGACATCTCCTATTACCTACCCAGAAACCAAAGACAGGAAAGAAATTTATTAATGCTGAAGTGGCTGAACTCTGGAAAGCATGCTCCTTCAGAAATGTGAACACAACAGAGTTCTGTTATCACCTCATTAGACACCCCAGCATAAACTGGTGGGATCTAAACTAGTGCTTCCCAATGGCCACCAGTGACAGCCAGAAATTAGCCAAGGATTCCTTCAAAATAAAGGTCCCTCTGACCCTATCCCAAAACATCTGAACCATCATTTCTAAGATAAGGCCCACAAAAGCTGCACCAGGAAAAATGTACTACAAAAGATACTGTCTTCATAGTACTATAGAGGTAGTGAAAGGAAAATAATAATTCTTTCTGGTATTATCCAGAAATATCTTGTACACAGTATTTCTTTCTGAGCTTTAAAAATACTAAGGGAGCCAGGCATGGTGGTGCACATGCCTATATCCCAGCACTTAGGAAGCTAATGCAGGAGGATTGCCACAAGTTCAAGACCAGCCTAAACTGCATGGTGAGATCCTGTGTCACAAAAACAAACAAAAAATAAATTTAAATTATGGTAAAAGTTTTAATTTTTAAGGTTTTATATAACTATAATCATAATGCATAGTTTTCTCTCTATTTTATAGGTTTCCTTCACTTTAGCAGCAGCTCAGCCATTTTCTCATGTATTGGTGGTTATAGTCTCGCTTCATGCCTGCTTGCGCTTTTCTGCCAACTGAGCTTAACCACTTCCCATGATCTTTCTGGATCTTTAGAAATGTTGCCAAACCACAAGCATTGGTGCCCCACCCTGGGAACTAACATTAAGGGTATTTGGACCATGTCAGGAGATTTACCAAAGCACAAACCAGCGGGACTTGGACCTTGTATAGTTCTTCTTATAGGACCATCAAGGCCACTTTATGGATCAGGAGCCATTAGCTGTGTATGGACTCCGATCTGAGGATCTAAGTAGAAGTCAGGGCAAAGGGGTGCTGACCAGTGTCAAATTGAATGATCTTTAGTCAGTCGAGGGAGGGGATATCTTTATGTGCTATTATAAAACTTCACTCAAGGTGTGAAAAATTATTCTGGTTCACCTAAAGTGTTAAACCTTGACTGTCAGTGTCCTTCTGGAGCCCTTTTGCCATGTGTGACATCTCCTCTCATCTCCCCAGCAATCTTCAGAATGTATTGATCCAAGGAGCTGTCATTTTGTTAATGAAATCTGTCTCTTTTTCTTCAATCATTTTTCTCACCAAGGAGGAAGCCAAGGAGGAGGAACTGGAGTTGCTAGGGTGTGATGTGGTGCAGTGGAAGGGTACCAAGCTGAGAAAAGCTGAGTTTAGGTTTTTCCAGGGATTTCTCTGGTTCCCAACAACTTATTCCATCCCCAGACCCTCTGCTGCTGCTTCTATAAGATGAGAGAATTAGACCAGATCATTTCTGTGTTTTTGCCCACTTTCAAATTCCTATCACCTTCTTCTGGAGTTTCACGGGTTCAAAAATAGATTCTTAGGGCTGGGGAGATAGCTCAGTAAAATAAACACTTGCCTGGGAAGCACAAAGTCCTGAGTTCAATCCCTGGTACTGAAAAAAAAAAAAAAAAAAAAGATTCTTTATGAGACCTTATATAAGTTCTTTGCCAAGTTTCTCTTGCCCTTCAGAGCCTAACAGATGAGCCTTTTCTCTCCATAAGTGTGATTGAGAATAATTTGAGTCTCCTACTAAAACAGTGGATCAGTCTGCCACTTTGTCCCTCCCTTCTCCAGCCCTGAGCATCATTGATAACGTCTGGAGATGCTTCGGGTTGTTATAGGCAGAAGTGCTGACATCTAGTAAATAATGCTGAGGGATGCTGCTAAAGGAGTCCCCTGGGCCAGGGAGATGGCTCAGTAGAATAAGCACTTCCCTGGCAAGCGCAAGGACCTGAGTTCAATCCCTGGTTCCGCAAAAAAAGAAATAAATAAAGGAGTCCCCAGCAATGCACAGGTTAAACACAGGCCCCACAGCTAAGAATGGTCCAGGCCCAAATATCAGGGGAAGGAAAAACCTTCTATAAAGGGGAACAGATTTGAATTTTCTAGGCAGTGGAAGTCCAGTAGAGAACTTTTTTTAAATGACTTTGGGAAGTGAATCATGAGAGAGAAAGAACAATATTTTCAGGGAAAATGAGTGATCACTCAGAATATTCTCTGCTCTCTAGATGAGGCAGGCTGCTTAGAGAGCAGCCTGCAGCTATTTAATCTGAATTTTAGAGAGCCCAGCCCCTCACTCAGGCAGTCTATTGCCTTCTGAGGTTTCAGTACTAGCCAGCTTTCAGCAGGTCTGGTCAGATGCCACAAAGGTATGGTATGACTGAGCCCTGGAAAAACTGTAAATCTTTGTCAGTATACTGAAGGGAGTCTTGGTCCATGGGTAGCTGCTTGTGTGTGGAGAAGAATCAGGGGGCCTCCTAGTTCTATTCTGTTGACTACAAATAGGGCGGATCAGTCTTTTAAACAGATTCAGAGAACCTGACTTTTTGAAAGGGGATTTGAAGTCAGAGTATAAATCAAAAAACCATGTGACTTTTAAAAGGCTTAGATTTCTCTTTTCCAATGAGTTCCATTTTGGACTTTTCTCATTCTGTTGAAAAATCATGGGTCATGATTTTGAACACATGTAATCCCAGCAATCAGGAGGCTGAGGTAGGGGGATCACTACAAATTTAAGGTCAACTTGGACTAATTCATAATGAGTTCAAGATTAGCCTGAACTACTCAGGAAGACTCTGTCTCAAAAATAGACAAACATATCAGTTCCTTGAGCACTGTCATTATGTGCAACAAAGCTTTTGACAAAACCTCATGATATGGTAGTTAACCCATTATTTTTTGTTTTTGAAGTAGGCTGTTGTCCCAGATCTATGCTGCTGTTATTGAGGCTGTTTTGGCTGGCATTGCATGTTATGCTAAAACTTCCAGTCTAACAAAGGTAATTTAAATAACACGTTTTCTTCTTTGTGTGTAGTCACTATTTTAATGTAAAGCATCCTGTCTATTAATTTATTCTCTGGACCTTTTGCAGTACTCATTTTTGTGTATGCTCAAGGCCTCTGTGGAGCGCTGAGCTTCTGCTGAGTCTGACCATACTGCTGATGTTTTAGAGGGACAGTTAATCACTACCTCCTTGTAGACATCAGTTTTGTTTTTTAAAAAGTTATTGTGTACTATATTCTTTGTTAATAAGAATGCTTTTAGAAGTTAATGAATACAGATCATTCCTCTGTGAATTTTAATAAAGTTAGGTAAGTTAGCTTTGAGCTACATAGTTTGGTTTCCTGTAATTCAGTATTTTAAAAATCAGCTATGGTCTAGAAAGTCTGACTTGCCTTCCTAGACAAGCAGTGTGTTCTTGCTGTCTGACCATTTTCTTCCTTGCTGTTTTACGGTTAACCTGCCCTGCTGAGTTGGATTCCTAAATCTGACCCAGTAAGGAGATGAGAAGAGTCGGCTTGATGCCTCCCAATGCCAATAGGACCTTTCCTGAAGGAAGCCAGTTGACATTGGAAAGGTTGTGTATGATGTAGATAGATGAGAGACTGTAGCCTTAGTCACCAGCTCCTTGCCATCTCCCCTCCTCACTGAACTCGAATCCTGGTGCTGATGTGCTACTTCTTAGCCCTTCAGCTGCTACCACAGCAGTAGGCCTATGCATAGCCATGGGAAATCCTTCAACATCAGTTCCCACATCTTTGATTTCTAACTGATCTTGTATAACACTAGCTTCTTAAATATTCTTTGCATGTGGCAGAAACTGAGGGCAAAAGTCCCTCCTCCAGAGCCAGGGGAGAGGGGAAGAGAAAGCACTTTTCTAGACATAACATGCCATTGGCATCACCCCAGCTCCTTACATCTTTGGCAAATCAGGTGCCAGTGCTCACTTGCCTGAGTGCAGGTTTTTCCTGTGAACTTGGCCTGAAGAAAGCAGCACCTGTTTCCCTTAACATGATACTTTCACTTTAATCTCTTAATATATACAAAATAGTCAAGTAGAGGGGGGGAAAGCATTGTTAGTTGGACTGTTCCTCTTAATTATGTAGGTACTTTCTGCCACCTAAATGCTGATTGTCTCTTTTATTACTGATTTTACAGGCAAAGGAGTTAGCAGAGCAGACCCTGGGATCTGGATTGGATTCCTTTGAGTTGGTTCAGTTTAAGACTGCACTACAGTAAGTAATGTTTTTCTGTTTTGTTTTGTTTTTAATTTGATATAGGGTTTCACTATGCAGTTCAGACTTCTAATGATCCTCCTGTTTCAGCCTTCCCAGCACTGGGATTATAGGTCTGTGTCCCCATGCCCAGTTTCAGGGCCAGCACAGTGTGCCCAGGGTTCCAGGGCTCAGCATGGTATGAAGTACCAGGGATCAAACTTAGGTTCTTGGGCTTGCCAGGCAGGTGCTTAGGTTGCCAATCTATCTCCCCAGCCCTGGCTTTTCTTTTATTTTTTTGTATTTTAGGGAAAAGTCTACAGGATGTTCAGGGTCTCACTACTAGATCGGACTCATAGTGACCCGCCTATTCACAGCCTCCCAAGAGCTAGGATTACAGATGCTCACCACCACGCCCAGTCTCAATTGCCATTACAGTATGCCCCCGGGGCGAGGCCAGCACACCTGGCTTTTGTTTTTATGAGGAAATTTTTTGTTGGTTTTTAAAAAGATTTTTGTCCCTTGTAATTTTACATGTTCCATCTGCTTTTTGAGAAATGTTCTGTTAAAATAATGGGATGTATGAAGAATTATTCACAGTTGGGACTTTGAGGAGCCAATGAGTCCAAGAGAGGAACTACATGAGGAAGAGTCACACACGTTTGGAGGCTAAAATGTGATGCAGATTGATGCCAGAACTATGGGAAACCGACAGGTCTGGTTCCAAGATTAAAAAGGTGATTTTGGGGGAACCTGAGAGGTAGATTTCTTAGGAAAAGGAACCCTCAACACAACAAAATAATCGAAGGGCTGGCCAGATAGCTCAGTGGATTAAAGCACCTGCTTAGGCAGATGCAGGAGCCAGGATTCAATCCCTAGCATGGTGTGCCGGCCCCACATCATGTGCTGAGACGCAGTTGAGACTAGATGTGGAGGCGCACGCCTATGATCCCAGCACTTGGGAGGCTGAAAGTGGGAAGGATCACTACAAGTTGGAACTATGTGATGAGACCCTGTAGACCCTGTACTACATACAAAAAAAAAAAAAAAGAAGATGATGATGATAATGGAAGAGACTTGCCCTGGGCTTCATCCACCTGTCATGTGACAGAATCTAGGTGACAGGGAATCCATCTTCACACAGTCTTCTGTCATGTCTCCTAGCATGTCCTGTGCATCTTTCTGTGCTTTGTCTGCAGCTCCATTTTCCTAATCCCAGCCCACTTAGACCCGCATCCCACAGGACCATTTTCATGCACTTTTATGCAAAGAATACAAGTTTACTTAATATTTCTGGACTATGTTCTGGGGTGCCTTCAGATTCCACATCTCACATTTTCTTTTATCTGTACTCTGGGGTAAAAAGGAACATTTGATAGTAACTTAGTCAGATGATCTAATAGGAAGAATTGTGTGCTATTACTGTAGCTCCAAGAATGGAGGAAAGAGCCAGAACTCTGTGGTATAAGTTTGTCTTCTTGTTTTGGGTCTCCTTTCTCCTGTCTTTTGTTTGGTTTTTTGTTTGTGTGTGTGTGTGTGTGTGTGTGTGTGTGTGTGTATGTGTTCAGGCCATTAAAGGGAATAGAGATTTTTTTTTTTTTTTAATACTAAAGATCAAACCTAGGGGCACTCTACCATGGAGCTATACCCCAGCTGTTTTTATTTTCTGCCCAGGCTGAACTCAAATTTTGAATCTTATTACTTTACCCTCTTTCCATGGTGGAAATATAGGTATGTTCTATTATGCCTGGCCCTTCACTGTCTTTTTCTGGCAGAATTTGAGAAATTTACTTTTGAAAAAATACATTTTATTTATTTTGCAGCTGTGTTGCCTTAGGCAAAATAGGTAACTCTGTGACTATCTGGGTCTGTTTGTTTTTTCATTTTCCCTTTATTGGAAATTGTGGGGCTGGGGAGATGGTTCAGTAGAATAAGCGCTTGCCTGGTAAGCGCAAGGGCCTGAGTTCAAACCCTGGTTCTGCCAAAAAAAAGAATAATAATAATAAATTT